CAATTGAGAATTCAGGCTTGGACACCCTCTTTAAAACCTGAAGTAGAAACTCCTATTGTTCCTATATGGATGTCTCTACTTGAACTACCTTGGCACATGTATAACAAAGATTATGTTACTAGAATGATTTCATAAGTTAGGAAAGTGTTTTATTTGGACTCAGCATCGATTCAGAAAACAAGGGGTAGTCAAGCTAAAGGTAAGATCCAAATTGATCTTAAAAAGGAGAGACCACCTCCTGTTTGGCTAGGGTATCTGGATAAAGAAATCACAGAAGGAACTTGGTAAAAAGTAGAGTATGGGGATATTCCGGAATATTGTCTTTACTGCAAACATCAAGGTCACTTGGATACAGATTGCACTATCAAAAAAAAGGGATGAAGACCAGAAAAGAAGAAGGGAAGCAGCTACTGAAAAAAGGTTAAAAATACAAAGGACAATGGCGATAAGGAAAGTCAACAAGATAAACACAAAGGCAACAAAGTAAGGGAAGAGGTTTCATACCATAATAATAGGGCACAAAATGAGCATAAGGACGGAAACTCTTATGAAGAACAATGGCAAATACAAAAGAGAAAGGGAATTTCCCACAACCACCAAAGTAAGAGTACAACACCATATGGAACATCCAAACAACAAAAAGGAATGTATGACCCTTATCCCCACTCATAATAATTTTATTGATCTTGATGCACAGAAACAGGCCACCAATCACATTGGAGAGGAATTACAGCAAACAAAGAGCAATACAGGCATATACAGGAACACTGCCCCAAAACCAGCTCCCAAAAATCAGTTGCATAAAAATACGCATCTAAATAAAAATGAAACAACTCATGAGCAAAGCAAGAATATCACAAGTATTGACTCTAGTCTTCCCAATCCCCGGCATTCCATTGTTAATATTGTGCATATTGTTGGTGAAGATGTTGGAGGTCTAGACAGGGGAATTCAGGAGAAACCAACTAATTTTAATGAAGGGGTGTCCAAAGGGGGGAGTTTTGTTGAATCCATCCTATTTTTTGGTCAACATTTTCTATTCAATTGCTACAAGCAATTGTTAAAAATGAATAGTAATTGGAGTTGGAAATAAAAGATTTGGTGGTTGGCAGATTGGTAAAATTTGTAGCCATTTTTTACTTTGTTATATTTACCTATGTCATTAGTGACATAGGCATGATTTTATCCTTCAATAAATAGAGCATTCCTACTCATTTTTAAAACACACCAATTTATAGAGAAAAAATTATTTTTAGAGAAAATTGAGGTATTCCATAGACTATAGAAAAATAGTATGTGAAGAAAAATAGAGTGAGTGATATTTTAGTAAGGTGGAAATTAAAAGAGTGATGTTCCTTTTGAGTGTGTAGTAGTCACCTTGAGTAGTGTATTTGTGACTACACAGTGTAAAATTCCATACTGTAGTGATATCAGTGGCTCCTCTTGGCCAGTGATTTTTCCCTTATTTAGAAGTGTTTCTAGGTAAAAATCTTATTATCGTTATTTTTCCATTTTATTTCCATTACTTTAACATATATTTTTTTTATCCGCGTTATCCCAACAAATTTCCCTCATGTTCTGCATGAGGGGGTTCACACAAACCTTAGTCTTGACTTTAGAGCCTCTACAAAAACTATGCAAGTTATTCAACAAGTGCAGGAAATTTAGAAAATGTGCAGCTTCAAGGCCTTGGTAATACTGATATTATACAAGGGGTAAACACAGTGAATCAACAAGAAGGTACTAACATATCTGTTCTTAAAAGGGGAAAGAAATTAGACAGGACCATAATAAACTTGGTGTTGAACCTTAAGGGAGGGGCAATAATAAATCCCAGGGACAAATGAGCAGGAAGAAAAGGAATGCAATAAAAAGAAGGCAACAAGAAGAGTTAGAGAATCAGGGAAATAATATTGAAAACCAAGAGAATTAAAAAGTTGACACAAGCCAAAAATATGTAGGAAGATGAGGATGAGTATACTAATATCCAATCTGAAGATGAATATTATCAAGTCACTCAATCCCTAAATGAAAATGAAGAAGAGCAGGAAGAGACAAGTATACATCTTATTTACCTTATGTTGGTTCTGACCACACGAGGTTCATGGAACTTACTGCCAGGGAGGATCATCACATTAAATATTTCAAATTTCTTCACTATTGGACTAAAAGTAATACAATCAAGAACACGGTGGAGGAATGCTGGAAATGAGATGTCAGGCCAATTCTATGAGGAGATTTCATCAAAAAAAATGAAACAATTAGCCAAGACTCTTAGTACTTGGTCTAGAAAGGAGTTTGGTGATATCTTCAACATTATCAAGGACTATGAAGCGCAGGTGAGAGTAGCTGAGGAGAAAATTATTATCAACCTGAAGTTAACAGGGAAAAACTACACCATGTTAATGCTCAATATATTAAGTATCTTAAGTTGGAATCACGTATCGTTAAGCAGAAAACTCAGTTACAGTGGTATAAGAAGGGTGATGCCAACTCTAAATACTTTCATGAGATTATGAGAGGAAGAAGGAGGAAACTAGTCATCCACAAAATATGTGATGAAGAGGGCTAATGGATTCAAGGTGATAAGGAAATTCGTCAGGCTGCTTTTAACTATTTTCAGGTAATTTTCTCAGGTCAAAAAAATAGAATTGCTGATCAGATGCTCCAATGCTTACCAAGACAAGTTACAGAGTTGCAAAATTAATCTCTCAAAGAGATGGTCAATCTGAAAGAAGTAAAACAGGCATGTTTTCAATAAATCCACATCGCTTGCAGGTCCAGATGGTTTTAGAGTCAAATTTTACCAATTCTTCTTGGATATAATTAAGCATGATCTCCTTAAATCTATTCAATCTTATTTCAATGGACACAACATGCCAAATTTTATATCCCATGCTTGCTTGGTATTGTTAACTAAAAAGGAGCATCCTAATAAATTTAGTGAATTCAGACCTATCAGTTTGAGTAATTTCAATAACAAGATCATATCCAAGATTCTATGCCTAAGACTTGACCCTATTCTTCCTATGATTATTTCGGAAAACCAGTCAGGCTTTGTTAAAGGCAGAAGTTAAAGGCCGAAGTACTTTGGAGAATATTATGTTGGCTTAAGAGATCATCCATAGTATCAGAAAACCTTAGGAAGGAGAAAATGTGGTGATTAAATTGGGTATAGCCAAGGCCAATGATAGAGTTTCCTGGTCCTTCACATGTCTTGCTATGAGAGTGATGAGATTTGTAGAGGTATTTATTGATCTTCTCTAGAGAACCATGACCAACAATTGGTATTCAGTCATTGTTAATGGTTCTAGGCATGATTTGTTCCACTCGAAAAAAGGCCTCAAGCAAGGAGACCACTATCCCCAGCCATATTTATTAGGTGTTGAGGTACTTTACAAAATGCTTAATATCCTCCATCATGATCAGAATTATAAAGTTTTCCAAATGGGAGATTAGGGGGCCCCAAATTAACCACTTAAGTTTTTCTAATGATGTTATCATTTTTACTTCTAGAACAAGAGGGTCTCTACAACTCCTTATGAAGACTCTTAGCACTTATGAGGTTGTCTCTGATCAGAATATCAACAAGGAAAAAAGCCATTTTGTGATACCATCCAATGCTGCTCCGTAAAGTAACAATAGGATGAAAGATATCACTGGTTTCTCTCTGAAAGATAGCCCCATAACATACTTGGGTTGTCCTCTTTACATAGGGTGACAGAGAATAATTTATTATTTTGACTTAGGTGAAAAAGTGGTGAAAAGAATCAGTGGATGGCAATCTAGGACTTTGAGTTTTGGGGAAAGAGTCACTTTGATCAACCATATTCTTCAATCCTTCCTATTCACATAATGGCTTCAAATTCTCCTCCAAAAACTACTCTTAAACACATTAAGAGAGTTACAGCTGACTTCTTTGGGCTTGGGATAAGGAGAAAAAGAAGTATCGCTGAGCGTCTTGGGAAATTTTAAGCTTTCCTTCTGAGTAGGGAGCCATTGGGGTTAAGAAGCTAGAAGATATTTGTACTACAATGCAATTCAAGCAATGGTGGCTTTTAGAACTAAGATTTCTCTTTGGAGTCAGTTTTTGAGAGCAAAATATTGTCAAAGGGACAATCAATTGCCAAAAAATGGGATACTGGGCAGTTACCTGTTTGGAAATATATGATGAAAAACAAAACTGTCATTAAACCTCATATTAATTGGAAAATTCATTCTGGTTACAACCTTTTTTGGTGGGATGATTGATTGGTTGAAGGTTAACTAGCACAGCATTGTGAAAATATTACAAGCCTCAACAACACAACAGTGTCTCATTATCTAGAAAATGGAAACTAGAATGGGATACTTCTAAGGCAGGAAGTACCCCCTCTTCTAATCACCAAGATTCTGAGTTACAAATTTCATTTTAAACCGGGAATACGAGGTAAAGCAATGTGGAAACCCAATGAGAATGGAGTTTTCTCATGTAATTGAGCTAGGAGAATCCGCAGATAGAAAAAAGAGAGCAACACCCTTAGTAACCACATATGGCACAAGCATATTCCATTCAAAATATCCTCCCTTTTGTGGAGAGCTTTGATATTTAAGCTTCCAACTAATGAAAATATTGCAACTTTTGGAGCTGCACCAGTTCACTGTTCCTGCTGCAATAGACCTGGAAATGATGAGATCAACCATATTTTTGTCAATGGGAATTTTTCTAACTATATATGGAAGCACTCTCTGCTCCTTGTGGTATCACTCATGATCAGGTCTATTTAAGAGACCTTATTAACAATTGGTGGGGAGAATAAACAAAAAATGATATGCAGAAACTCCTCTTCCAACAAGCCCCCATTATTATTTGTTGGAAGTTATGGAAGAACATATGTGGGGCAAAATATGGGGGCAAACCTTCTAACACTACTAGAGACAAGTTTTTTATTAATAAGGATCTCAAGCATCTTATCGCAACTGCTTATCCTTATATTAACTTGCCTCACACTTAGCATAAAATGATCAGAACCATTGAGTTGTGCAAGCAGGAAATCAAACTTTGGCAAGTAAGGTGGGATACTCCTTATGCAAACACTCTGAAACTCAATACTGATGGTAGTGACTTCAGTAACCCAGGCAAAATTGGGGGAGGAAGTATTCTAAGCCATCAAACAGGCAGTTTCGTGTATGCTTTATCTATTCCCTGTAGAAATGGTACTAACAATCAAGCAGAAACTCTATCATCAATGCATGGGTATAGAAGGATTATTCTAGAAGTTGATTCTGAACTACTCACAAAATTTTTGAGTCACACTCTCAAACCTCGGTGGCAGTTGCAGCAATGTGTTAAGGACCTCACCAATCTCATTAAGCAATTGGATTTTTTCAGCTGTCGTCACATTTTTAGACAAGCAAACAGTATAGCTGATTTGTTGTCGAAAAGAAGTCACAAGTTAGATGTTGTACAACATTATTACACCTTCGAACAGTTACCAGCTATAGTTAAAGGCAGCTATCTGCTAGAGAAATTTGAGTCTATAATTTCAGAAGAAAGAAGTTGAAAAGGATCAAACAACCACCTTGAAGATGTGCTAACATGTGGATGTTGTAGGTTTACCTTTGTTGTTTTCTTCCTTATCTTTTCTTAGCTAGGTTTTACTTTCCTTTTGTTTTTTAAGGGGAGAGTCTCCCTTGTTTACGCTTCCTAGTTTATTTGTATCGAGAGGAGTACTCTCTTGTAGGGGCTTCCTCTCTTGGTTTCATCTTTTTTGTAAGGGATGAGTTGACTATCCTTTTTGGAAGGTTGACTGCAGACCCACCATAGGTTCGAACGGAAGCTTTTATGTCCCCATCCTTCTACTTTTACTGTATTATTAACTTTAAAGCATGAAGGTGTTTCTAAGCCCCTAACCCCTCCAAGGGTCGTTAAAATTTAAAAATAATTTTTTTTTAAAAAAAAGTTCAAACTTTCATTTAGACTATTAACCCTGAGTTATTTGATTACAAAGATAACATAATCACATTTTATCATTCAAAGGTTGTTTCTAACTAAACTTTATCATGCAATTTAATATAAAAATAACTCAAGGTCAAGATCCACTTCATGACTTCAAGTAATGAACAATGAATACAAAAATTCAGAGTTTTGTTGAAATTTTTCACCTTACAAGTATTTCAAATAGGTAATTGTCTGATAGAATGGACTCTTTAGACCTTGTGACACCAAACCCGCACCTTGAACTCTTTTGGTAAGGGGAGAATGGGAGTGATAAAGTATGGGAGAGATAGGGGGTGGAAATTTGGAGAATAGATGATATGTATGGGAGATAGGAGTGATTTGGGGATATAAGGAGGGAGTTTTGGGATTTTGAGGGGTTCAAAATGTTAGGGAGGGAATTTAGGATGTACGGATGAATTTTAAAATGAAGATTTTTTACTAGAGGGGTTGGGCCTCCAAGAATCCTAATAAGGACCCTTGGAACCCCATCTACAAGTCGTGGATAGACCTACGGTCTGTGAATGGGGCCTGTAGGTCACTCTATACTTAAAAAAATTTAGGAACATACCAAGGAGACTACGAATGCCATTCACTATTCGTGGATGGAACCATGGACCATCGATGAGGTCCGTAGACATCTACAATAGACATTATCTACAAATTCGACTTCTCATCCCTGCACATGTAGCAATCATTAGGATTCTATTTTAAGATTTTCTAAATACAATTTGGACACGTACTCTATGAGATATCTAGAAAATAAACAAATAGAATGATAGTCAACAGAATTATAAAAAATAAAATAAACAAACAAAGCTCATAAATAGAAATGAAAAAAATACAATTGGCTAGATTGTACATATGTGGTTGCCTCCAAAGTTGCTCCTGATTTTAACGTCTTGACACGACGTAGGCACCTTGATTACTCAAAATTCATCAATATTGTAGGACTCATCCATTTCTTGCACACTCTCTTATTTTCCCATGTATGTCTTGATCCTATGTCTGTTCACCTTGAACCTTCTTCCTCTTTCTTCTTGAGCTCAAGCTCTCCATGTGGGAATGATTGAGTGAATATGAATGGTTTGGTCTACTTAGACTTGAGCTTGACAGGAAACAAGCACAACCTTGAATTGAATAAAAGCATCAAATCACTTATAAGTCCATAATTTGGACTCATTTGGGGCTATATTTTGGTTGATTTAGTATCCTCAAATGCATAGTATGTCTCAAAAACTGACGAAAAACCTTGAACTTTTGGTATTTAGACCGGAAGAAAAAGCATGGACACAAGTGGGCAAAAAGGAACAAGGCAGTTGAAAGAATGAACAAAAAAAGGATTGAAAAGTCATCAAATGGCCTTATTCTCTCCTTATGTTCTAATATAAGGAGCCTTGATGGAAAGGATCAAGTCTTCCATGAATAGGAGTGGTAGTCATCTTGTTGAACACTTCTGGGAAGTAGTGCTAGATCGCCCAATAATCCCAAACATGAAGATGTTGAAGGTTATGCCAAGACGGCGATGAAATATACTGAAGGGAGGACATCCGAGCTGATCGGCAATCCGAACTAACTATGCCGAGTGGTCCTTCACAACATAAATATTTTGAAACTATAAATACTCGTTCATATTTTTAGCTTAGTATCAAATTTTATTAGACTTCCACTATTGCGACTGTATTATTCATATATTTTCCCTGCTTTACTTCTTAGAGTTTTTGTGAGACTTTGTTCGTGAACTTTGAAGACATAAAGGTTTCCAACTCCAAGGAATTAGAAGTGGGTATGAAGAATTTTCATTGTAAACCTTTGTAAAGACATTTTCTATCATATCCAATTAATGGAAACACTTTTTTGTATCAATTTCTATTTCTTTACTATGTTTAGATAAAACCCAATTCTTGGGGTGTGATTATGTAAATATGGGTTGAATTTACTGTTGGGTCTTGCTAAAAATAGTGTATTTGTTGTTTAAATGTGATTTCATTCAGTAGTTTTGTATGAATTTAATGGGGTTGTAGTTTCATCTATCATTTTACCTTCATGTCTTTGGCTTGCTCGTGAGAGATGCCGTAAGATCAAAACTAATAAATTGATAGTATGTGGTTATTGGGTTGACGTGGGTTCAACTAAAGAGAGTGAATCGTAAACCCTTTCCCACACATTTAGTTCCAGAGAGTGAATGGTCTAAGGAAAAGGTTGGGCATAATTACTATTCATCATACTCTGAGTGAAAGTCGTTTGATTTAGAGCAAGTTTCGAGAGAGAGAACTTACCCTCCCTACACTCTTGCCTAGTAACAAATTTACAGTGATTCATGATCAATAGCATGTACCCGGTTATTCATTTGATTCCATATTCATATGACATCCCAAGAATCCTGTCTCTATATTTGTATTTACATTATCATCAATTTTAGCTTATAACTGCTTACAAACCCCCCTTTGATAATTGACACTTGTGTCACTCCTTTGATTTATTATGTTTTTAATCATAAATGTATTTAAGTTATGACTAATTTGTACTTGACTGTTAATTCTCGAAAACAGCTCCCTTGGGATTCGACCCCAACCCTTTGTTAGGTTATATTATTGACTAACAGCAGTCAACACTTAGAACTTGATGAAGTGTCTTGATACATCAAGTCAAAATGACACCGGTGCGGGGGAGTGGTGTTAGTTAAGAATGTTTTTGTTGAGTTGAATTTTGAAATTGTTTATTATATTTCAACAAACATAATTTTTAGTTTTTTTTGCTTTCTATGTATTGAAAACAGGAAGTATAAGCGTAAATGGCAGCGAAATAGTCAAGGAAAATGACATTGGAAACCTCAACAATGGCAATGAACCTCATGCTAATGACCCCCCATATCATAAGAGGTATTGGTACCATTCTGTTACCACCAGCGAAGGGAATGTAGTGTTCCACATCAAAAGAACCATATGGCAACTCTTGTACTTAAAGAGAGTAGAGAGTTTGAGTGGATTAGCCCATGAGGATCCTTATGAACATCTTTAAAACTTTGTGGATGTATGAGGACCATTCTTCTTCAAGAGAATCTCCTACTAGTCAGTTCGGCTGAGGTTATTCCAATTCACCCTTATGGGGGGATCATGCAAGTGGCTGGCTAAGTTGCAATATAAATCAATCACTTCGTGGGAGGATTTGGTCACCGCATTTAATGTTCAATTTTTCCCTCCTTTTAAGATGTTGACTCTTCGGGATAACATCCAAAGTTGTAAGCGTTTGGAGGGCGAGCCAATTCATGAGACTTGGCTGCAATTCAAGAAGTTGGTGCTGCAATGCCTACTCATGGATTACATGACAATGTATTTCTGCAGTACTTTTATCGGAGCCTTAAATCAGTAAATAAGGGTGTCGCTGACCAACTTTCTGTGAGAGTTTCAATGCAACATCCTTAAGTGATAGAGGCACAACTACTAGATTGCACGACCAAAATTAACGGGTCTTGGTATACCCGTGAAGATTAGGTTTCTCCCTCTCATATAAATTAACCAAGGAGAAGTTGGAGAAATATCAAGAGATGTATAAGAACATGGACAAAATCATGACACCACTAGACATTTTGTCTAAAAATGTCATAGGAGATTTTGCATGAGGTGTTAATGTTGTGGGGTCTGGTATGATTTTGGATGAATCCAAATTTGAGGTCTTGTATAATGAAGTGGTAAACTTCTTAGACAACCAAGATGGAGGTTATCGTTTAAACTACTTGGGCAGGGTGGTAACCAAGATTTAAAAATAGATAAAGGATGGAAAGATCAAGATTGTGAATGGAGGGATAAAAATCCCAATTGGAAGGAAAGGGAAAGGGATAGGTATGTGCCTCCCCACGAATGTCAAAAGTCAAAGGATTCAAACAGTGTCATGTCTGAAGATATGCTCTCACATATCCCCAACAAGTTTGAGGTTTCAGACAAGAAATGAAAGAAGATATGTCAACTCTTAGCCAGAGCGTCACTTCCCATTTTTTCTAGATCAAGCAATTGGAAAACCAGATGGACCATATTTCATCGCATTTGAATCTACGTTAACATTGGGTTCACCTACTGAAACGATGTCAAACCCCAAGAATGAATTTTGAAGGTTGACTTGCATCGTACCATGACGTTAACTAAGCCTCTATTTGAGAAAACTCAAAACCCTATTTATTGATTTATATTTGTTTTAGAAATAATGGTATATTGGTTGTGTAAGTTGAAATGTGGCAAGCATTTGAAGAAAAAAATTTTAAGGTTGTGAATCACCGAGCAGGTCGACGTGCCCAATGTAGACTGTCGTTAAACTCTAGATACCTTTAAATAGGAGTCTGTAAATTTGGCGAGCCCAGGAAATTAATGATGAAATGACGACCAAGTTACTGATCCCAAAGTAGATTGTCATTTTGACCCAAAAAAATTGAAGTCCTGTAAAACTCAACCGAGATACATGATCGTGTGGCGTGTCACTGAGAGAATCGGAAAGGGAAAGTAAGTTCGCCGAATTGGCAAGAAACTAGACGGTATATCAATTCAAAGGTTTAAAAGTTTAACTTTCCTTTAC